CTGGTATGTACAATATGAACCTAACAATAGACAAATTAGCGAAATATGATGCTTCTAAATTCGTCATATTCCGCTTGATCTCAACCGTTTTGGCCATGTCCAGTTTTTCCTGGGCCTGAGGCCTGAGGCTTGGGGGGCAAGCCCCAGAGTGATTTCACTCAAGTAGGAGCTTTTCTTCGTGCTTTCTTGACAACAGCTGTCAATTCACCACCTTGCCAAATAACTCGTTTTAATTTAAATATCCTGGGCTGATTCGCTCACATGTATAGTACTAGTTCTTCTCTACTCTTATCCCTTTCTCCAATTTCTTCTCGACGATTAAATATATACTTCAACACAAAGATCGTGAGCCCGACTAGGTAAAGATATCAGAGTCCTGGTGTAATACTCAGCTATACCATAAGGCTACAATTTTCCTGTTTCGCCGGATGAAAGGAGGGGTGGTGTATATATCGTCGAGTAGGAGTTGGGAGATGTGGTGATATACTATTACATAGTCACTGGGTCACCTCGAGCATATGCGTCGCACTATGACGAACTCGAAAAAGAGGTTCCTTTCCACCACTTGCTGACTTTGGCTACAGAGTAGCGTGCACTCTTAGCCACGCCAGCGCTTACTATGCCCTTTAGTGACTGTACAGTTGCTGGGTACCGCACGATCTTCGTGATTTCTGGCAAGAACATCAGCATGAAGATCTCGAGATACGAACAGAAGAACATACCAGAGTCAAGAATCGAGGGAAGCTCCTTGTCGCCTGCGATACGGAGCCAATAAGCGCTTTCATCCGCCTCTCTAGGTGGACCACGCCCCTCGGCACGCTGATGAACGTGCTTCAAGAGCTCTTCCGGCAATTTCTTGAGATGCGCTGCTCTCGCATGCGGACTGGTATCCTGTTCCACGTTCTTGGAACCCGCCGCCCACCGGACCCCAGGAAGGCCCTGCGCAAGCCTCCAGTACAACTCCCGAAACTGGTCCTCCTGACGAGAAACCATATTCTCCACCTTTCCTCGATTCTCGGCTGGTAGCACCATTCGAGGGTCACCAGAATAGCTTATTCCTGCTATAGCTGAAAATAGCTCGCGTTGGGTAAAAGATCCCGGGAGCATGAGAAGGGCGGTGCGAAGAGCAGAAGTGAGGTTAACTTGTTGAGTCAGTCGTACGCGTGCATCGTCCTTAATGATCCGTAAAGGCTTGTGCATTCTCCCCGCAAGATAAAGTGTGCGCCAGTTAAGTAGGTCGGCACATAGCGTGTCGATGGTCGTTACTCCATACTTGATATTCTACGGCAGTATAAGTAAGCGAATAGCGCAATGGTATGAACGAAAGTGACGTACGACCCCCTTCACCGGCACAAAAGTATTGAACCAAAGTCCAGGGCTGAGCTCTTGCGTTTTGGCGACAAATGACGATCCTAGCACCCGTGCATGCAGGGGATAATGACTGGGATGCTGTTGCATGTTAATGGAGTGCCAGTGATCCGAATGCGTAACCGCGAATATAAAGTCCAGCATCGGCCTGTCTTCCTTATCCTTCTGCTTCTCATACCCAGCCTGCTCAAAAACGCCAGATCCATAGGCAAACGCATATCGAATTGGCGCTTCGAACGATCCTACGATGTCTTCTAGAAGGGCGCGAGTGGAGTCTGGTACCGGTAGGACTTGGTTCCGCCCGAAGGTTGCAGGAAGAGTTGGGAGTGCTTGTCGTTGACGGGGAACAGCTGGACGCGGGCGCGGATATAATTGTGACTGACGAGACTTGCTTGTCTCTGGCTTTGAGATGTGGAGTGGTGGAGTGAGGACATTGTGAGAAGTGGTGGAGTCGGTTGTTAATGAGCGAGTAAGACATTGTAGATGATGAGCTGATACCCGGCTAGCTGATGAGCGAGTGGTGGATAACATACTGCACGACGACAGCGATAGGTGTGACACTGACGATGATGGTAGCTAGATTCAAGTTCAGTAGCACTCTCGATCGCACCTAAACCACGTGACTACGAACGTTTTTGCAGCTGACGCGGTAGTCCGGCATTAAGACGTCCCGCATCCGTATGGATCAACGCCTGCAAATTCCCGCTACCGTTAGGGAGTGGGTTATGCAGGTTTTGATTTTCGCATTCAAAAACCTAGCCTTTTGCTAGTCTTCCCTCGTACTGTGCGCTATCTCATGCTTGTTGCAACGTTGATCTGTCTCTAGCTTCCGAATCATCATGTCGAACGATTCGTCAGCTGCTTGCCCGTATCTGTCCTTGAATCGTTTTTCTCCGAAGTTCTCACGGCCTCTTATGAAGGTCGCTCGCTCACCACCGACGTCGAGTTCGTGGTCACGCGCGCTCTTGATTCTGATTAGTAGTTGTTGGGATGGACTGGATTGCCGCGTGGCGCACCATCGGTCAGGAAGACGAAACTCCTGTTCACAATCCTCGTCCTCTCTCTCTGTCTAGCGTTTGAGGTGAGTGTCTCAGTTTGCTTTTCTTTGGAATTTCTGCGAACTTCGTTTTGCTTTTTCTAGACACTTCGTGCGTATTTCGGGATGACATCAACCATGTTGAAGCTGCGCACGGTGCCTACTTGCGTTCATCCCATTAGTCGCTCCTCGGTGGGGCAGTTTCATTGTCTCGCAGACGATCTGCATCCATTGTCGGCCTTTTCTTGTCTGATGTTGAGCTGCTTAGCCAGGCGTGCTCTTTGCATGGCTTGGCACTTGGGCATTCTCATTCAGTTGTCAAGCTACGCAGTTTGTTATTGCAACATTTTCTCCATGGCGAGTGCTCGGCTTCAGACACACGTTCCAAGTACCGCGATTATACTGCATGTTGTGAGGTTGCAGTAGCTTCATCTGATCTAGCTAACTGCATATCAGATATGTTGATGAGCGCGGACACTTCTGCGATAATCTTTGGACTGTTGCACAGAGTATTTGCAGTGATCTAGACTCTGTTTGTCATCAAGAAGACCGTCGCAGGAGGAGAACCGTTTGCATTCTCAATATCTTCCGCAGTTGGGGTGCATACGAAGCCGTGTCCAAGTCATCGCAATCGTTGTTTTCAAAGGCGGAGCATATGTCCAGGACTTCCATAGCGTCTTGGCATGGTCTGTGCTTTGTGGGTACCAAGGATGAATTGTTGGATAGGGTCATCGACCGTACATCTAAGGGTATGTGCGCCCTGTATCCGCAGGATCGTCGTTCAGCTTGTTCTCGAGTGATTGAGGAGTATCGCGCTGAAAGTTTACCAGAAGGCGACATTGGGTTTAACAGGCCTACGGATGGTTATGATGATTTTTCTGATCGGCAAGCCAACAGATGTCGAATTTATAAATTCATCTTTTGAGTTTGTTGCGCTTGTTGCGCTGTCGCAATGTTGAATATGATGGTGATAGTCCCTCGTGGCTGAGAAAGCATTTGAAATCGCACATTGGTGTCCTTATAAAGGGTAAGCGAACACAGGCAAGGCTTTTGCCTCCGCTGCGTCAGCATGCAGGATTGCACAGTAACGGAAAAATGTGGAAACTTGGTACAATAGGGCAAGTCGGGTAGCGGGCTTTGCCACTTGAGATGGCACTACACACTTATATCTATGTGGCCTTTGGCTACTTCGTAGGTCTGAGTGAATATAAGAGCGTGGTGGAATATTACAAGGAAAGACCATATGCATGGCGCAGCTAAAACAATGAGACTGATAGTGACACTGCAGGATAATAGAATGACACAGTGAACTTTGCAGAGTGCTACCCAGAACAAAATTGAAGTCAGAAACGATCCATTTAGATAAAGAGAGAACACCATACCAGAACTATGTCATTGTAGTGTGGACAAAACTCACGCGTTGTATGGTGGCGGCGGCGGCGGCGGCCCTCAATAATATCATTGGGAACACTCTACAGCCGCCTTGTGTCATGATATATGAACGCTGCAGATGCGAAATTAAGTGTATCCCTAAATTCGTATATAAACCAAATCTAAATTCAAATCTTACCCAAGTGAAGTTGAGCTCAGATCTCAGGAGCTGAGCACACAGGCACGGCACACCAGTTCAGAAAGGATTCGAGCATGCATGCCCTATCGTGCAACGTAGCACGCTTGCCTCAGCGCTGCATTGTGTTTTTCTTCATTAACAACAGCACAAGGTAACTCGGAGGGATCTGACGAAAGGAAAAAAAAAACTGTAGAATAAAGTCTGAGTTGAACTCGACAATATTTAGCGGGATAACATACCTGTTCGTAAGCCAAGCCCATCCGCTGGAAGAACTTCGGGAGATCGATCATTCCATATCGTATAAAAACACTGTCGTTATTTATATTGACATATGAGCCCACATGAGCAACATGCAACTGTTGCAGAAACCATAAAAACAAAGAAACAGTCAAGGAGCGGTAGGGAAAGGGAGATATAGACCTGTGAAAGACGCAAGTGAAGATGCCGTAGATAGGCACATATACAAAGGAGAACAACTGCAACGGTATGAAACGAGAAATAGTATACATAGGATATATCCTGAAATCAAGACCAGAAGGCTCGTAAATGAAGCATAAAATAAGAACCACACACTGCCCATGTCAGTCCTACCTGGATGTTCAATGCCTCGACTGTCGTTTCAGTACATCGCCCCTACCGCTTAGATGCATTGGCCCAAGGACTCTTCGGTTTGGCCGCTTCTTCGGCCAGCTTTTGAGCCCTGAGGATGGCGCTCTTGTTGACGCGGGGAACGATGGAGGGAGCCTGAAGGCTGCTCAGACGGCGCACCGATCGTTGTGATGATACGGCTCTGTCGAGCTCATCCATGCTGGCAGTGCTCGTAGTGCTCACTGCAGAACTCTCAGAAGCCTGAGAGGAGTAGCTATTGGTGATGTTTAAACTTGCCCTTGGGGCGACATGGGAGGCACGGGAAGATGCCCGAGACGGCACCGTGGAACTTGAACGGGTCCGAGGAGTAGAGTCTGCTCCGGCACTATCAGGATAAGCACTAAGAGAAGAGCTGCTTCTCGACTGAGTACCAGGCACCTTGGGAGCGGACGGAGTACGGACTGAAAATGTTTATTGCGTCAGTGACGAACTTTAAAAAAAATCGATCAACCGTAAAGTGTCATCGTGTGAAGAGAAATGAAGAGAAAAAAGCTGCCAAGGACTTACACATGAAACTGCTCGGGGGAGGTCCGCCCTGCTTTCTGAGAGCTGCAGTCTTGTTGGTTCTGGGAACTATGGACGGAGCTTCAGTTGTACTTGCGACAGGTATCGATTGGCGACGCTTGTGCCCAGGAACACCGTCAAAAATATTTTTGCGTTCGCGTCTTCGCTCAGTCTCCGTGTCTTCGCCTTCTCCCCCGGCATCACTAGGTGAACAAGATGTCTGCGAAGAGACAGCAGATCCATTGGCGCTGATCGCTACTTTTCCATCGGTGACCGAGCCAGCCATCGATGCACGCCTCCGTCCAGGAGGTAAGGCGGGCTGGGCGAGACCCAACCGTAGGGCGGCTGCCTTAGTCAACCTTGGGGTAATGGTGGGTGGCGCAGTAGACGCAACGGTGAGCGTATCAGAGCGCTTGTGGCCTGGAACGCCCGCAAATGTCCTCTTAATCCTTTCCTTCTCCATCTCTTTCTCCGCTGCGTTCTCCTTTTCCCTACGAGGAAGTGGGATGCGGCCAGTACTAGCTGTAGACATTCGTGATTTGAGTGGAGACACTTTTGAGCCGTCTGCAGCCAGCCCTTGGCGAAGAAGGGCAGCTTTTGTTGTGCGTGGAGATATATCAGGAGTTAGATGCGTTTTTGGAAGTGGCCGTGCACGAAATTGTTGCTTTTCATTGGGTGATCCATTGGAACTGAGGCTCGGGCGTGCTGAAAATTGCGGTGCGCGCGCATCCGAAGACTCAGAGGACGGTGTAAAAACGCCTGAAGGAGCATTCAAACCCAGCTTGAGAGCTTCCAGGATTGCAGAGTCGATCGAGCGCACAGAACCAGGGTCGAATTCATCATTTGAAACCAGTTCTTCATCACTTGCAGGGAGATCGCTGGTGGGAAAGGGAGGGCTGGAGGCAAATAGAGACGCTATTTGAATTTCTGCTTGCTCTTCGTGCTTTGCGCCTATTATTGCATCATTAAGTGAAGGCATTAATGTGAGGAGAACTTGGACGGCGCGTCTGCGCTCAAGAATATAGACCCAGACTGGACCGCTGAATGGGTGTCAGTGATGGGAGATACAATAGAAAGGGTGTGGGGATGAATGATAGTGTTACTAAATAGCCATCAAGATACTCACTAGTCAAGGAACCGAGCATCATCGCCGAAAAGCTCGAAAAATGTGTCGGGATCCGTCTCCGTATCAAACTCCATTTGGCGTTCTTTGATTATCTATAAGGCATGGTGAATCAATTTTGCATCTCAAATCGAGAAGTTCAGAAATTCTTGAACGTGACTCTAGACATATTCACGTGTCATATTCGGAAGACAGAGACTGATGCGCGATACAAGGGCAAAGCATATAAACTCATGAAACCAGTCCACACACCTCGAAATTTGCCTTCACAAGTCGCTGTTCAATGTCTAGACGCTGCTCCAATGCGTGTGTCTTGATTATCGCGACAGTTCGCGTCAACCTGGCTGATGGCGATGCAACAGGCTGTATCCTGTTCGAGGAATGATGTCCATGATGTTCGTGTTCGTGAGGAGGGTCGTAGAACTCGATGGGATTGGCAGGGGATGGGGATTGTGAGGACATAGACTTGGACATGTGGGTATAGTTATTCCCTTACAGCAACTCGGACAGACTAGTAATAACCACAAGAAACAGTGACGAGAGCAGTGGAAAAGCAACGGGCCAGAAAGAAAGGAAATATAAACAAGGACACCCTTGAGCTCACCGCCAACTATAATCTAGAATGACAGCCCTTTCCCCAAGACGACACTTGTGACCTGTCGTGGTCGTATACTGCTCCCGTGCGGACCTCGGACACCCATCCATCATGACTTTTCATGGTCTCTCCCCGAGGCAAGACAATACAGGTTCGCGGACAGCAACGAGAAGTGTGGAAAGAGCCAAAGCTAATGTTGGCACAATATTGACACGTATGACACATATGAGTTTAGATAACATGAGGCGGTACCACGGCCCCGATTGTAGCACGTAAGGATATCCCTTCATCAAACATAGAAGTAAGAATATCATAATGATTTCCCAGTAACAATGCCGCTCTTTCCTCCCAAAGACGGAATGAAAGATGCCAAGTACGCTGGTTCTTTATCGACTCAGAGGTCTCCGAATAATCTCCTCCTGTAACAGTATAAGCATGACACATTTCATCTATCGAGAAACACTCACAGCCCATCAGGCGCCTCAGTCAGTACCGAGTACCCTCCGACCATCTCTCTTGGCCAGACATCCCGCAGGAACCATCCAATGTGACCGACCGCACACCCAATTAGATCTCCCGCGGCCGCCTTCCATGTTCCACTTATTACCCAAGAGAAAATCACGAGGGCCAATGGCAAGTACGGTGCTGAGATTGTGAACAACCCAAAGAGCGATATTGGCGTGGATGGATGCCGACGGGACCACATATATATGGGCACGAAGGCGAGCGAGGAGGAGAGAAACGGAAGGTTGAATAAGGGAGACAAGGCCTGTACCATGATGATTAAGATGCATAGACGACGAGAAGTTGATACAACTTACCAATAGCATCACAGATGACAGCAGAAGCAACCAAAAGTAATCAGCTTTTCTGTTGGCAAATGAGGATTCTTCTAACATCCGACTATATCGCATGCTAGAATCCATGGAAGTCAAAACTCTAAGCGATGGAAATCAACAGCCGGGCTCACAAAAAGAAAAGATGGAAAACGAAGTCCAGAGATATTGATCCAAAGTAAAAGAATGTCGTGGCCATGCGCCAGGGCTGTACGCTCTATCAGCACGCACACAAGATGTTACCCCAGTCCAAAACATGACTCACTTGTGCATTGGTAAAAGCGGATTTAAAGCTAAAATACAGTTGCAGAGGTGTCACGAGTTGACATTGCTTGGAAACACGTCAGTTTCGTCACGGCCAATTGAGCATTCGCCTTCATACCACTGCTAAACTCGTGGCGACAGATAGCGCTAGCCATGCACGCGTTATCGGTGGAATCTGGGTCAACCAAGCTTCAATTCCGACGGGCATTCCTCAAGTTGCCAACTAAACCTCAAGAAATCGTCGAAACCTGCGAAACTAAGGTTGTGTGGTGAAGTGAGAGTGAGAAGGGAAGTAGTAATGCAAGATCCACGTGGTCCATCAGTAATCATTGTGTTTCAAATTTACACTGCCACACTTCGTATGCTATGTAGCAACTATCATGATCAAACCATCATATATACAACTTACTTCTGCAATTCTGACAACTACTTCCCTGGATTCTTGTCATGATTGTGTACAGGCGTACGTGTAGCCAATGTGTGTCCAGCATCTCGTATACGTACGATACGTGGTAGAATTATCATTTAATTAATTGTCGGTATTTTGACTCTCGTACATGCCTTGCAAGTACATTCGATTTCATGACTGTTTCACAGCATCGGGGCTCCACAAAGCATGAAAAGAACGTAACACAGCGCCATAATATGATCAACGCAACTCATTAACGAAGCAGTGGGGAACAGGCCGAGTAGAAGGCTGCCACTGTGTCATAGTGTGTAACATTATTACTTCCTACATCTGTACTACATATGGTTACATATCCCAGTTGCCTGAGTACACCGCCAGGATGTCCAATGGAAAGTACTACATACGATGATTCAGAAAACAAGAATAGGGCATAGTAAGGTGGAAGTCACTCACAGGGATAGGTTCTAGCCATCACTCCTTAACAGACTTGAGCGTAGCTGACCTGGACGACTTGGACCCCGAAGCACTTCCGGATGGTCCTTCTAGCCCTACGGTGCCTAGGCGGGACCGCGAAGAACGAGAGCGATGGTGAATGACACCATTTGCATGTGGTATCGGAGGAAAAACGAAACTTGCATTAAGCTCGTCCTTCATACAGGCTGCCTCCCCACGTTCCATAGCAGTTGACCGGGTGTGCACTTTGGTTCCGAGTAGGAAAGGTTTCAGCGGTGATTTCCGTGGTGGAATAGGGGGTGCAGGGGGTTTGGAAGACGCCTTGGGAATGCGCGGCGGAGGCGGCCGTGGGAGCGGTAGCAGCAATGGCCGCACCGTGATTTGGCGGGGAGTCTGTTTGCCCTCCATTTCGTCGTACTCGCGCAGCATTATGAGGAGTAGTATGGTAAGGACACATGAGGCAGAAATTATCATTTGTGGGATAAAACCAATGTAGTCTGTCAAAGAAAAGGGTTAATATTTTTTTTCAGAAGCCGAGAAATTGAAAAAAAAGTACCAATAAGAGCACCTGCATGTATGGATAAGTAATTATTCGACCCAGCCCATTAAAAAAGCTCACCGTCATCAAGAGCTGGAGAATCTGGCATCGATTTCCTCAGCTGCGGGATGATAAGAACGATAGCAAAGGCAGAAACCAGATGCTTGGTCATGAACCTGATATCGACTAGTCTGCGTGCCAGCAGAACATGTGCAATGGTGACGTGAGTTAGCATCCAGCTGACGCCAAAGAGTAACAAAGCATAGAATCGTAATTGTCCAGGCCTCGTCACATATAAATCAAAGTCGCGAGTGGGAACTTGAGTCCCATTGATTATCTCGTAGCTTTCGAAGTCACTAGTTGCGACAAGAAAACTGGCTACTTGTTCTATCGTGGAGAGCCCCCGAATGGTAACAGTTGTATTTGAAGCATCGACAGCCCGCAAGGTGCTGGGGAGAAGATACGTGTCAAATGGGTACAAGTGAGCCCTGTGGACATCCAGCGTATGATCGCTGTCGAATCGAACGAGGTTCTCGATACTTGTGTATATAATGATGAGCATTAGTCGATCCCAGCGCATCCCCGGACTTACCTGCGCCGCTGACCCGTTTTACGAATGTATGGAATTGCGGAAGGTTCATATATAGCTACAGGTTCAGGAGAGCTATCAGTGCATATCATCAGTCGCAGATTCATAGAGCTCAGTAAGGTCACCTACTTATCGGCATAAATCCAGAGGGCCATCGAGGGCAGCCCACATTGACTCTCGTGGACACCAGAGCTTCCGTCGAGTTCAAAACTGTCTCCACATGCAACAAGGGACCATGAGATAGTGATGGAGGGCTCGCTGACATCGACGTCGACGTTTTCACCTAACAGGACAACCTGTACACGAGTTCAACAATAAAGCATCAAAGACGTATGAAACACCTACGCCTGGATCATTCGTTGCAATGTCGTTCAGCATGCTCTTGAAAAGGGGATCATCTTCCTTATCGCCACTGAGGAATGAACAGGACAGAGCGAGAACAAAAAGCAGGGAAAATATGAGAGCAAAAATAAGGATTGTCACATTCTGCAAAGGAACGACTCCGCCAGTGCCGGTGTGCAGATGAACAACATCACCACGGGATCGACCAATGGGACTTGTGCCCCCCATAAAGGCCTGTACGATGTATTGGATGATGCACTATAATTCGATCCACAGCGCGTTTGATGGGATTCACTGGGAAGGGCGTCGGAAAATCGCCAGAGAAAGTGGACGGCACTTCAAGCTTCAGCGCTTGATTCCCTTGCGAAAGGTCCAGAGGAAATTTCTCTCAATAGCTTGCGTAATCCCGTAATAAGCCTAGCAGATGCCATGGCTCTGTTCGGCCTAGACTGCCTTATGGTATTACGTCGTTCCAGAATATCGGAAGGATAGTACCATTTCAACGACTCGATTCAGGGTGAAATCGAGTTCAATCTTCAGAGCAAGGAAGTGCGGCTTGCCAGATGATGGTGGGACACAGTAAGTACTAGTAGTTACATTAACAATATTGCCATCATAGTTCTCACTACATATATAGGCACGTGACTTGTGAAAACCGGACCCAGCTTGCCGGATCTGACAGCTGTTTTGCTCATCCTATTCGTCATTGAGACCAGACAATCTAAAAGTTCAAACTACTTACCGACTACTCGTCGAGCTTGTAATTTTATGTATGCAGCGGAGCCTTGGAGCGCTTAACATCATTTGAGTTTGTACGTGTGTGAGAGAGCGCCCAGTGGATCGAGCCCTCTCGTCAGTCGAAGTACTTCCTCCATCAATGATCTTGAATGCGGAGGAAACGCGTTCCCTCTTAAGTTGCGCCACGTCCGCAATTTTGAGTCTATTCGCAAATTGTAGATCTACCAATCGAGCTCCTGTGCTTAACCTTGCTGCAATTCTTTTGATAGCCGTCGCCGACCTCTGGATCCCATGCTCTGTATGCGACATGCATCAAACCAGTGAACGCAATACTGTCAGGGTATATGAAGTTCTGTCAAAAGGTGTCGATAGAATGAGACAGGCTTATCCAGCTGTATGTTGTTACGGTCCTCTAATGAACACATCGAGCATGCTTGCGAGTGGTTCCTGCCGTAGAAATGATCCATTCTCCACTGTTCCGGCTTTGATCACCACCATAATGGCAATTACCTCGGGTGGATCACTGATCATCGTCCTGCGGTGACTTTTACCTGAAATTGCACCGTCAGAGAATTTCGAAAGACTGATATGACGACGACTTACGGTTCCCCATCAAGTAGTTTTTTCAAAAGTGCAACCTCTTCTAGAGGACCTGCTGGATCGCCTTCCGGACCAAACACCTCCAATATGTTGCTAGCGAGATTGCGATAGACTCGGGCCCGCTTAAGTAAGGATGTCTTCGCAAGAACTTGATGTTTATTGTCATGTTCAGTTGCAATCACAGCGTTCCACCCTGTCTTCGCCATCTCTAGCAGATGCATACCTATTGACAGTGTCAGAGCAGATAATATTTTTTATGATGCAGAATTCCCTACCGATCTGTGGATAGTTTTTTGGGTATATTAAAAGATACACGGCAAGTACCGTTAGTCCAACATCAAGAGCGACATGATAAGAACCCTCGTGAGAAGATCTGCTGAAGGTGTCCGTGAGCCGCGATAAATACGATTCGCGAAGCACAGGGTAGAGATTTTTTGGAAGGTCTGGAAGAGTTAATCCCACAAACGGCGTGCTATCGTCAATATCTGAAGAAAGAAAACAATGTTTTTGCAGAGTATTGTCCAATTTCTGAAGTGCGGCCTCTGAGACAGGCAACGAAGGGATGGAGCCAAGCGTGCTAATGAAATTGCATGATGGGCAGGTACAGGAAAAGCCATAGGTGAGCTCGAAGATCTGCTGACGAGACTCTATTAAGGCAGGGTCCACATACGGAATACAGATCTGCAAGACGAGATCAGTTTAACTCTATAACGACCATCTAACATAGTTTGAACAAAGTACCTCCTCCGTAGCCTTGATCTCCCGCAAAGCTACAATTTCCATCCGCACTGGCTGACCTCGGCGGATCACGTATCTTGCAGCGGCGTTTGGAAGACACGAATGGTTGAAAAGGCGACTCGCAAGAGGGAATATGCCATGAGCGATAGTATTGAGATGACTGTGAATTGCGAAATTGTTATTCCCAGAACGTGTAAACAGAGCTTCAAGGATTTGGTGCACATCAGCGCCTACAGACATGGGGCAAGCAATTGGGAGGGAGTCATGGGGCGGTCCAGGCAACAGAGACATGAAGGTGGATAGCTGCTTTGCTGTTATATCGGAAGACGCATTAGATGCAATCTCTGCTATAAGATGGGTGTGAAGCAAAGCATCTAGTTGCTCGTGCGCTTCAATGTATTGAAAATCGGCTGAAGCCATAAAGGAAGCAAGTCTCTTGCAAAACTTTTTATGCGAGCCCCAGTGCAAGGTTTGGCCTGAGGATGTTTTCAAGGCTGTTGTCACACGTTATCGACAGAGGATACGCACACTGTGGTCCGCAATACCAATATGAAGCACAGCCAGTACATTTGACCAGCCTGATTTCAGGCGCTCCTGAGCAGAGACAAAAATCACATCGGCGACCTTTGTCCGACGAGAGTAACAGAACCACCATAGATGGCACTTCCAGAATAACTGAACCTGGGCTGATATCGCTTGCAGCAACTGCTTTGTGACGAGCAGTAGCGTGTGCCTCCAGGCGAACACATGCAGGAAGCTCGTCCAATGATGAGGGCATCAGGACCAACTATTGCAAGACAATTACTGTAGTGCAACAGTCACTGGTGATAGTAAAATCGAGGCATTCCAGAAATATCACACGGACCTTTCGGAAAATAATTGTACCGTTGATCGCCCTTGGCACTCAGTCACAATCTCTGCAGGAGACAATGAGCGAACTCGGACCACAGATCAAGGAATTTTGAAGAGTTGCAGAAGACTGAGGGAGTTGCGGACTGCTCACACCAAGCCACGTCCGACTGACCACACTCGCTAGATATGCGAGTAAGAACAAAAAGGCGAAAGAATGCTGACAATGATACGATTGAGGAGAGCCTGAATCGGGATCTCACGGCGGAGGTGCAGATTGAAATTGATCAAAGTTTGATTTACATAAGTTTGACATAAGGTAGCAGCGAAGTTGGTGTGATCCTTTATGTCCTTTTCTGACATAAGGTGGGAATTATTTACGACTGTATTTTCCGGACGTCCAACCCTGCATGCAATGCCATGCACGGACCATATAGCTAGTTACACAGTCGCGTGTTTTGTGCTCAAACGTTGCTTGAACAACAGCCTCACACGCGACTATTAAGATATCGGAGCATCGCCGGTGGTGAATAGCTCTCGCAGAGCTCTATCGTCATCATTATTACCTAGCTGCGACGGTGTGCATACATTCGCAATGCGATAGCAGTGAGTCCATCAACAGTGACTCAAGAATACATCGGCGCCGTGTGCGGAGCGCGTGATCAGGCTTTGTGCCAATAATAACTCTTCCAATTGGCTTCAAATCTTCAAGTGAAGGACGTAGATGATCACAAGACTTGCCGACGGCACGTATGTCAGAGTCGACGATAATCGTTGAACGCTCCGAAAGGGTGGGGATTATCAAGCTCAATCGACCTAGGGCTTATAACGCACTATCTGGAACATTGATCAACGAGTTATTGGATGCTTTGAGGTCGTTCGAGAGCGACCCCGGCATAGGCGCTATTATCCTGACGGGCAACGAGAAAGGATTCTGTGGTCAGCTCCGAAATCTCTCTACACGAATCAATCTGATTATCTTACAGCTGGTGCGGATATCAAGGAGCAAAGTGAACTGTCCTTTATCGATGCATACAACCAAGACTATCTGAAGAATCTAAATGACGGGTTTTTTGCTGTCCATAAGCCAATAATCGGAGTCATCAATGGTATTGCAGTGAGTCGATCACTCGATGCTCACCTCGATCGACTGACACAGCGTGCACCCAGTTGGGAGGTGGCTGTGAGCTGGCGATGATGTGTGACATTTTGTATGCAGCAGAGAGCGCAACGTTCGGGCAGCCAGAAATCACACTGGGAACTATCCCAGGTGCTGGAGGGACGCAGCGCTTAATCAGAGCTATTGGGAAATCAAAAGTAATCGCCGCAAGATCAGGTATCTACAGCATCACTAATGGTTATTTTGTCAGGCAATGCACATGATATTGACGGGGGAGATGATTAGCGCAAAGGAGGCCGAAGCAGCCGGGCTTGTGGCTAAGGTTCTCCCTACAGAGCAGATCTTTAGTGTGGCCCTGACTACAGGTATGTAGAGCGTTTAGTTCCCCTAAGAGTGACCTGACTATTGCAATAATCGTCTAGCAAGCAAGATAGCGAGTTTCTCCGCACCCATCGTAGCAATGGCAAAGGAAGCGGTCAACGAAGGTCAGTGACTTCAAGTACCTTTCACAGCGTACTATGCATTGTTGAACATCAACATTGACAGCTGAAGAGCTGGGGTTGAAGAATGGGCTTCATTTCGAAAGCAGACTTTACCACGCGACCTTCGGGCTGGAGGATCATGCAGAAGGATTCCAAGCATTCCTCGCCAGACCCAAGCGTGTAGCGCAGTGGACACACAAATGATGATCAATCAGCCTGAATGTTGCACGAGATATATAAGCACCTCGTGGTATTATAGAACGTCAGATTGTAAGATAATTCGATGATTGTACAGGGTATGACGATGTAGCAAACAAATCAATTGGCATGAGCCAAGATGTTGGATCGACAATTTCACCGGAACCTTTGGCGTTCAATTGTAGACTTCTGTCTTGAATCTCGCGAAACACGCCTGTTGCATATAAATAAACAAAGTGAAAACGGCAGAGGTACAACCTTACCAATAATACTCCATCACCTCAGCTTGACCAAGCTTGCGAAGGAAATTTTCGTCGTGTGTGATGATGATCAACTGAAAGTTAGAATGATTCTTCCTCTCGTTAATGATGCTTCAAAAAGGTTAGCACTTCTCGGTGAAAAGGGCCATCGAAGATCACTTACTCGACAAGGCTCTCGGCGAGTGCATCGATGTTTTCCACATCAAGAGCGTTTGTTGGTTCATCCAGCGCCAGAATGCCACAGTTTTGACCAAACTGAATCAGAGAGAGCGAGACGGATAATAATTGAGGCCAGCATCTTCTGACCTGCGGAGCATCGTCCACGCATGTCCATCTCGACTTGATCTTTGGTCATAACAACCTATTAAAAGGATGTCAACGAAACAGTATTTACCGTGGCGAGAAAGCACTCACTCGGTAATTATAGGATCGCTTTGATGCGCCACCTTCGACGTCGGAGCGGATTTTGATACCATCAATATCTAACAGCGATTAGCACTTAACCACGACACGACGTTAAGGGTACACACCGGTTCCTTGATACGTTTTATTCCAGAGATGACGCATGGTATCGTTGACTTCCTCCATCTTCAGACCGTGGTATTTCATAATGGCACTAAGAGAGACATAAATATAGGACCATAGGGCCAGAGATGTGCAGCTTACTTGTCCAGGGCCTTAGCATACTTCTCCAGATCATTATTTGCCATGTCGCACATCTAAGCAAGCGTCAAATTACTCGATTTTGCAGATCGGAACCGGATTCAGACCTTAACCTTGACCAATTGGTCGGTATACCGCTTGTTGATATCCTTGAAGTCACGTAGATCCTTCTCTGTCATCTTGAGTTGCTCTTGGTGGGAACTGATTTCGCCTCCTATATGGGCATACTGCAGAACATGAGATGATGCAGACTGAAGTGTGAAAGTGAACGAGCTCTTACCTTGCTCTGCATTTCCGTTTCCCTCTGTTTCTCGACCTGGTAACGATCTTCGAAGTTCCGCTTGGCCTTTGCAGCTCCCTCCATATCGCACGAGTCAATTTCAGCTTGTGTAGCTGCTATATCACGGGAAAGCTTTCTGATACGAATGTTCCCGTGCAAATTTGCCACCAAACTCCCGCTCTCGCTGATATCCCGGTCAATCTTAGCTATGGCATCCCGGGCGTTCTCGATATTGGTCACAAGATCCTTGATGTCCTGCTCGAATTGTTCTATCTTGTCGGCGCACTCAACAAGAAGACGGGCCCGCTTGTCACGAATATACCTAGCAGATGTCAATGGAGTCTTACAACACACGTAATGGCATACCGCTCAACGATTTTATTGAGATTGTCAAGTTTGTCAACGTTCGTGTTGAGCTCTTGTACGGAACGCTGAGCCTCGCGAATCTTTGCATCAAGGTCGACTATGGCTTGCTGATGCTCTTGCTCGAGCATATCAATGGGAGCTTGCGCCTCTGAAATCTTTGAGTCCAGTTCCTGGATTCATAAGGGCACAAGCAATGTTCAGCCTCTAGTATTCTAGACACTCAAGAACTGACCTTGAGTTTTGTATGTAAGGTCGCGATCTCGTTGGTCATTGTGACGATACGTTCCTCCATAATATCCTTGTCACGGATCTGATTGGAAAGGATGTTCTCTTTCTTTTCCATCGAGTGCAGGTCATTCTCATTCGTCCGCAGCAATTGGTTCTGGTGGTCACGCTCTGTCATGAGTGCTTGCCTCTCTCTCTCATTTGAGCGGCTGTGAACAGATCAGCTAGAGGATTGTTTGCCGGGTAGACAACGTACATCTCATTAGAAAGGACATCAAGTTCCCTCTGCACATCATCACCAGTCTTGGCGGTACCAGTAGCAGGTAAGCTCCTTTTCCAGTTGCTTGATATCGCTCTTGAGTCGCTCGACCTCATTCTGGTTACGTGACTACGGTAGAGGCAGGATTGCTTCAAGGAAGCAACTTCTCTAATGTCCTTCTTGAGATCGGTTAATCTCTGAGCAGCCTGTATACAAATGAGATTTCAAGTTTCAGAAATTCACAAGGGTATCTTGCCTGCTCTGCCTTCTCGCTATTGGACGGAAGATATTCATCCAAAGCCTTGATTTGCCTCTCCAGCGCTGGAAGCTCGAGGGTCCTGATGCGCTCCTTAGTTGTGAATACAGGCATAAGAGCACGGAGGTCCTTCAATTCATTTTCCCACTGTGTAACTTCGGCCTTCTGAGCCTCGACTGCCTCTGGAGAATGGTTCTTGATTTGCTCCTTGAGCTGTATGCGTAATCATTAAATCATGGCTCGAAAATGAACTCGGATTACACATACATATTTCTCAAAACCGGCCATCTCATTGTCATGTAGACCGCGATTACAGGCAGTACAGCGTTTCTTCGCCTGTCCTGCTTTCAAAATTTGCTCATACACTTGACTCACGCCTGGTTTGCATTCACTGTAGTAGGAATCAGCAATCAGTTGAGAAGAATCTGTGGAGTCACCTACTTCTTGCGAATTTCGAGCTCCTTCTCTGCGAGCGAGAGGGCGATGTCGAAAGCAATCCCTCCTTCAATCTCGTCCTTGAGTTGCTTCTCCAGTTCTATGGTCAAGTTGGTTCAAGATGTGCCTTTGATAGGTGCGAGTGCTTACTTTTCAATTCGTCCCGCTTACTCTTCATCTCGGATTTTGCGTGCGATAACGTTGTTTCTGCTTGTTGAAGCTCTTTGTTAGCAACAGCGGCCTCTTCCTCTGCCTCGACAAGCTCTTCATCTTTCTCTCTATTATCATTATGGTTAAGCGAGTCCTGATAATGAAAGGCAGATTTACCTTGAGACACGGTCAATATCACGCTCCATCGTTTCCGCTCTTGCATCTCTGCCTATCAACTTCCGGAATTTTACATTGCACAGCTCAAGGCTATGAAAAAAGCTGTCAGAAAACAAAAGAAGTTGTATAAGGAACTCACATGTTCTTGGTATCTGATGTCTTACTCCGCATCTCTGCACGCTTGA